GTAAATCTCATGATGTTCTTGAACATGTAACAAGATGTTGCTTGGCGTCAACAACGGACATCTAGGCATTCTATGAAGAGTTAATGCAGTTTGAGGCTAAAATTGGTGTAGAATTATAGGATGTAATATTGGTCTGCAATCGACATCTACGTGTAATTTGTTTGAAATTGCAGTTCCTATGTATTATCCGTTGCTAAATGAATTTTTTATGGTCAAGATTATTTGAAAAGTTACTTGGGAAGTGGAATGATGTTCACCATCCTTGTTTTTTTCTTCATCTGTTGCTTTCGTGTATGGCTTTATTTTGCTCTATCAAACTTGAGTATAGATAGATGTAGATGTAAACTACAAGAAGATATGTTGAGGTAATAAGAAGCATATATCTAAATAGTTAATATGTTATAACGATTCGCAAAATAGTAAACTTTTGTCCAACGCTCGACGGACATTAACAAAATAAACCATAAAAATTAAAGCCTACTATGACCAACAAGTTCGTACGTTATAACAAGCTATGTAGCAAATACAAATTGACATCTTGGTATTCTTTGTATCACAAATGTTACTCAAATCACTTGTTCAAGTAGGTCCCATCACATTTGGCAATTTCTTTTCCCTTGCGGAATGTTAGGTGGAATGATATGTCGACGTCTCGTTTTTCGATAATTCGAGTTAGACTGTCAAAGATTCTTGGCAAATCTTCATCTTCCTCGTTGGACTCATGATTCACCGCTTCATTAACGGTACTCGATTCCCCTCTTGAATCTTATTTTTCACCCAGTCGAAATATCCACAATCATCACTACACGTGAAGAACACTCGCCATTTTTTTCTAGTATCCCATTCGACCTTGAAATATTTTCGAAATCCGTGTTTGCATGAAGGACATCCGCATTTTGTTTGGCATTGTCCAAAGTAGTGAGTGTCACTTCTACAACCGTGACAAACTCTGAAATTCCTTTCTCTCATTCTAATCGAGAATTGTTGAAGAAACAAATAAACCCACATGAATGCAATTGAATTATGAAATCCCACATTGCAACTTATGTTCAAATAGAGATAAATGGCATAGTCATGGATGACTCTGTCAAATTGAACTAGACAATGAACAAATCATAACCAACTTTAAATCAAGGTTCTATATCCCTGCTAATAGTCATATGCATTATATTCTACGCATGCAGTACTATAACTACTCGAACTTATGATTTCACTTCGAACATTGAAAATAAGTAAGTAAAACCCGAATGATCTCCAAAAAGCCACTTTCCTTTGTTAGTTAATAAGTTCAAAAATGACAGAAGTTATAGGCAACACATATAGAACTCTAAAATTCTAAATCTCGACGTCATTCCCAATCATATTTTTCCCTGTGGAGATTGTGTCATTCTTAATTTTGCACGTATTCCACAAGTGGACTTAATCATATTGGTATTTTGATCAGAAGTCCTTTCATAATTCTAAATCTAGAATTCGAAGAAAGCAGCTAAGTCACATATGAGAAATCTTCATGCCTAATACCAAGGAATCACACATAAAAATTATATGTTACAGATGAAGTAAGAAAACGAACATTGTGAACCCGTAATAATAACAGTGAAGGAAGGACCCGAAATTGCGCGTGGAGATATTTTGCGTGTGCCAATACAATGGGAGAGAGATTCTTGTGATGTATGCTCCTCGTTTGCTTGGCCAAGCTAAGCCCACCCGCAAATGGACAGGACCAAGAACCGGCCCATAATCGGATTGGGTTGGTTCATGAGTTGCCTATCTGTAATATTGGGGCAGGTCCCATTTTTTGTACAAAGGCCTGACGGTTAACCAATGGACCCATGTAAAAATAATATCCAAAAAGCAAAAAATAAGAAAAAAGTGAAAGAAGTGAGAAATTTCTGTCTCCACACTCTATCCTCTTGCATTAAACGGTGTATCAATGACAACCATTATTAAATGAGAATTGACAAGCCTAAAATGGTCGGCTTGTCATTTGTCAATCAAATGATTTTTTATTATTATTATTAATGAGATTTGACAAGTCAAATAATTCATTTTTATTGAAAAAATAATTAAAGTCTGGAGCCTATTATTTGCTTTCTTTCTTGTCATTGTTAAACTATAACCGTTGCTATACGGTCAATTTTTTAATTTATTTCTTGTCTTTTAGCTTCTTGTCTACATTATTATTTTTGAAAATTTTCATAATTATTCTTAACCCTGTTTACAGTTTGTTGGTTTGATTTTCTATATTTTTAATATTCTTTTCAATTATTAATTTATTACATTCTTGATTTTTTAATTAATTATACATAGTCCATAAATATTTCTCTCTTCTTTAATCAATATTTTTAGGAACCACAGGTTTCCCCACTGATGATTTCAATTTAAGAAATAGTGGCTCTCCAATAAATTTGAAGGATGATACTACAAATATTGGATAATCTAGAACATAGAAAAAAAATAAACAAACATCCGATGTTTGGGAAATTTTGTAGTGGATGCAACTCGTGGAAAAGCAATATTTAGTATTTGTTTAAAGGCTTATGCATGGATTAAGGGTCAAGGCACTGGCACGTTGCAACGACATAAACGTTCTCATCTTAACGAAACATGACATTTAGATCCTACATAGATACAAATTACTTCTTTTAGAGGTGTTGGTGGATCAATTACTTTTGCTAACTTTTCTTATTCACATGAACGGATGAGATTTGGAATGTTCGAATTTTTGGCAGCAAGTGAGATGCCCTTCACTTTTGCAGAAGATCAATACTTTGAGGAGTTCATGCAAAAATATGTTCAACCCTCTTATCGAAGTCTAAGTAGAAATATTGCACATTCTGATTGCATGAAATTATT